TAAAAAGGATATACAGATTGGTAATACTGTTGATAAAACCAATATAAAAGACGAGGGTAGGGATTTTTTTTTCGAGAATCGCGCTTTGAGTTTTGCACTTCGAGGTTCGTATATAGACCTTTACTTTTTTTATTTTTTCTGTCTGTTTATCCGTCCATCTCTATCTATTTGTCTATCTATCTTTCTTTCTCTTTCTTCTCTTTCTTCATCCCACTCTCTCTCCCTCTCCCTCTCAGTCCCACTCCCTCTCCCTCTCCCTCTCCATCCCACATGCCTCTCTTTCTCCGTCCCTTTTCTCTCCCTCTCCATCCCACTCCTTCTCCTCTCCATCCCACTCCCTCTCCCTGTCTCCTACTCCCTCTCCCTCCATCCTACTCCTTCCCCCCTCCTTCTCCCTCTCCATCCCCCTTCCCTCTCACCCTCTCCCCTCTCCACTCCCTCTCCCTCTCCCTCTCCCCCCCCTCCCTCTCCCTTCCTCCATCCCCCTCCCTCTCCCTCTCCATTCCCTCTCCTCTCCCTCTCCCTCTCCACCCCACTTCCTCTCCCTCTCTACCCCACTCCCTTCCCCTCTCCATCCCTCTTCCACTCCCTCTCCCTCCATCCCTCTCCTCCCCCCTCCTCCCTTTCATTCTGAATAGACCTGAATTACTCTTTCATTACTGACCTGATTTTGAAGTCATTTGCATGCCGCCGCTTCTTCCAGTTCAACGCTCGTATTAGCGTTATTATTACTACGTTATTAATATTATTAGAAGGCTTTTGTATCGCGGGAGGTCAGTACCCTCGCTCAATAAACCACGTATGGCTGAGGTTTTTCTAGCAAAAAGATTTTTTTTTCTTCTTTTTGTTTTCTTTATTGGGTGTTCTTCTTCTTTTTTTCTTTCTTATTTATATTTTGTTCTTTTCTTTTCTTTTCTTTTTTTTCTAATTTTTGTTTGTACTTTTCTTTTCTTTTCTTTTTTGGGGGTTAGTTTCCTTTTTTTCTTTTTTTTCTTTTGCTCTTTTCCTTTTGGGGGTTAGTTTTCTTTCTTATTTTTTCTTTTGTTTGTTCTTTTTCTTTTCTTTTTGAGGGGTTCTTTTCTTTTTTTTTCTTTTCTTTTTTTTGGGGGAGGTCAAAAGTCATGACAGAGGACTGCATGTTGCTTGTGTTGCAGTAATGCAGATATGCATTATATGCGTGTTTTATATTGTTATAGAAAATGGGATTTTCGGTCCGTTTGTCAGACTGTGCTAAAGATTTTTGTATTTTTGATGATAATGATTTTGCAGAATATTTGCTGAAATTTCAAACGATAGAATAAAACAATAGAGTTGAAAGATCACAGTTCTTTATATATACATATATGTGTGTGTGTGTGTGTGTGTGTGTGTGTGTGTGTGGTGTTTGTTGTGTGTGTGTGTGTGTGTGTGTGTGTGTGTGTGTGTGTGTGTGTGTGTGTGTGTGTCGTGCTGTGCGTGCGTGTGTGTGTGCGTGTGTTGTGCGAGTGTGTGTATTAGTAATGCTTATGGGAATAATCAGGATAATCATAATATTCATAACAATGATTATGATGATAGTAAATATGTAAAGATTATGTTCGTGATAACGGCACTGATAATGAGTCGAATAATGATCTTAACATTGGTATTAATGATAAGATATACAATCATGACAATAATATTAATGATAATGATAATAATGATGACATGAAGAATAGAAATAGAGAAGTAGTGGTAGGTGTGGTAGTAGTAGTGGTGGTGGTGGTGGTACTAGTAATAGTAGTAGTAGTAGCAGCAGCAGCAACAGCAGCAGCAGAAGTAGTAGTAGTAGTAGTAGTAATGATATAATGATAGTAGTAGTAGTGGTGGTGAATTGTAGTATAGTAGCCAGTAATAGTAGTAGTATAGAGTGCTAGTTATAAGTAGAATTAGAGCTTTTGTAGCCAGTAGCAGCAGCAACAACAGCAGTAGCAGTAGTAGTAGTAGTAGTAGTAGTAGTAGTAATGTGGTGTGTAGTAGTAGTAGTAGTAGTATTAGCAGTAATAGTAGTAGTGATAGAGTGCTAGTTTAAGTAGAATTAGAGATCTTTTGTAGTTTTCAATAGTAGTAGTAGTACAACAATAACAATAATAATAAAATCAATAGTAACCGAAACGAGGTCAGTCCCATAGCTCACTGAATCGAGGTCTTCAAAACAACATTATTAAAGAGTTACTTAAGAAGATTAAGTTCAGCTGAAAATACCTTTCGCAGTGACAAAAGTAGGACACTGCCCTTATCATTGGAGTTTATTGGACTGGCCTGAGAAAAGTGTTTTGTTGTATTTCAGCCAATTTCCAGGTTGTGAAATTGTTCAGCGGTGTTGCTTCTGTGAACACGAATTCGCTACATGAAGACAATGTTTTAGAATTAGTTTTCGTTATATGTAGTCAGTTTCGAAGATTCGTTATATCGTGTTGATGTTAATATGTGAATTTACTGTATAAACTTAATAAGAACATATAAAAAATAAGAAGCATAA